CACGTCTGCGGGCAGGCGAGCGGGGAGGGTGTGAGAGCGGGTGGGTGGGGGTGGGGTGGGATGGGGGGTGGCCACGCCGGCACGGCCGAAACAGCTGCCCATACCCCAATCACATACCCCCAGCCCTCCCCTCCAACCGCACACCACGCACCCACCCGCAGCTCGCAGCCGGCACCCACCCTCAGCCCCCCTCTCCCCCCACTCCGCCGCCGCTCACCGGTGGGGTAGATGTACGCCAGGATGGGCTCGTTCAGCTCCCACATGCGTCGCAGCACCTCCTTCACCTCGCTGGGCGTCAGGTAGGTTGGGTGGCCGCCGCTCAGGCTGCAGGGGCGCCGCGGGCGCGGGGGCCGCAGGCAGCAAGGGGGGAGGGATGAAGCAGGAGGGAAGCATGAGGGAGTGGGGTGCCAGGCGGGCGGCGGGTTCCGCAGGGGGAAAACGCGGGGCCGAGTGGCGGCGGCAACCGGGGGTGGGGCGAGGCGCAGGGCAGGGGCCGGGCAGGGGCTGGGAGCGGTGCGGGGGCTGCCCGGGCCAGGGCTCACCCGGCCTCCATGGCGTGCTGCAGCACCGCGGTTCGCTGGGCCTTGCTGGCGGGCAGCTGGCGGCCCTGCCGGTCCTCGCCGCCATCCACATCCATGCCCTCAGCACCCTCCTTGGACTCTGCACCACCGGCAGGCAGAGGAATGCTCGTCAGCAGCAGCAGCGACGGCAGCGGAACCAGCAGCATGATCCAAGCAGCAGCGGCGGGGGGGGCACTGCCTGGGCTGGGGCTGGTTCCCACCAGCGCAGCAGGACAGCAACCGCTGCACGATGACAGCCAGGAGCGGCGGCGGTGCCACTGGCTGCACCCCCTCACCGCCATCCTTGTCGTCGTCTCCCATCAGGCTGTCCTTCTCCCCATCCTCCTTCTCCTCCTCCTCCACCTCCTCCTCCTCCTCCTCGCCGCCGCCCTCCCCCTTGACGCCGCCGCCGGCCCGCCGCCGCCGCTTGCGGCTGGCATCCGCCCGCGCCACGCCCAGAGCCAGCTCCGCCTCCAGGTTCTCCACCTCCTGCGGTACAGCAGCCGTACCATGGCGGTACAACAGCGGTACAATGGCGATACAAGGTCAGCGACGGCCAGGCTCGGCGGCGGCAGGCGGGGCCCGCAGCGTCAGGCAAGGGGCGGGGGCAGCATGGGCGCGACTGCGGGAGCAGCGCACGCTGGCAGGCTCTGCCGTGCCCCACCGCCACCGCTCCGCTCCCCGGCCAGCCCTGCCGCTGCGCCCTGCAGCCTCCAGCCTCACCTTGGCCTCCTGCGCCAGGCGGGCCAGCACCGACAGGATGGGCGTGCCCTGCACCTGGTTCTGCGCGCGCCGCTTGGGCGACAGCGGCAGCATGAAGAGCTTGGAGTGGCCCTCGCGGCGGATGGTGGGATTGTTGGCGCCGCAGTTGTGGCACTTGCCCCCCGTGGGCTGCTTCCTGAAGAAGTCGCCGATCGTGTCGATCATCGCCTCCAGGGTCTGTGCCGTCATGCAGACGGGGCTGCGCGGGCCCATGCCTGCACGGATGTTGGGGGTTGGGGGTTGGGGCATGGCAGAGTGGGGGTGGGCACGGCTGCCCCCGACAACCTGCAGCGTGCACCCAGCCATGCAACACACACACCACAAGCCTCCCCTTGCCCGCAGCTGGCAAGAAGGTCACGCCGAGCGCCGCCACACCACACCCCGCCGCCGCTCCCCGTGGGCACCGCCCAGCCCCCAGGCGCCCCAGCCAGCAACGCACCCCTGCCGGCTCGGGCGGCACTGGCCTTGACCCCCTTGGCCACATCGTAGCTGAACTGCTTGGCGGCACCGGTATCCAGGTCCTCAAACTGCTGCAGCGCCTCATCCAGGATCTCGCCGCCTGCGGTACAGGCGGCGGCGGGCGGCGGTACACCAGCCTGGACGCCCGCCCTGCGATGTGCTGCTGCTCATGCATGCATCGCGTGCGTAGCGGCGGCCAGCCGCGAGGCCTCCCGGTCGCCATCGGCGGCAGGGCGGGGAGGGGTGGCGCTGGCAAGGGCAGCGAGGCGGGTGCAGGCGGCGGCAATGGCCAAGTCAGTCGCGGGCAGCGGCAGGCTCACGCACCGGCCTTCTTGGCGGCGGCCGAGGTGCCCACCACCAGGCTCTGAGCCTCCACCAGC